TACTCTTTTCAACACCCATTTCACCAACCAAGATGACGTCTTCATCTCCTGATGACCCCAACTCAGTTGGTGAAACGCCCGTCGAAAATAGTATTGCATTTCTGGTGATTAGATAAAGGTACTTGTTTTGGATTGATCCTTCGTTCTCAAAACATTCCATCTGATGAAGGAAATCATAATATGAAGAAAGAGAAAACGAAGACAACATGTTTTCTAGTCTCCTTAGACTCCAGAGAGAGAAGATTGATTGCATATCAGAAATATCAGATATGAAATGTAAGTAAGTTTGTTTCTGTGAATGAAACACTGTGAAACGAACAAAGGTACTTTACTGACACTGAATAAATAAATAAATAAACTTGTCTTCCGAATTGCTCTTCACCACGATCATCACTAGTTTCTCTTTGGATACCAAGTGTCAGAAGCTGAGTCGTAGACATATGTCACCAACTGGTTGTTCTTCAAAACTGTGAACTGATTCGGAGAATCCTCGTTGGTGATATCAAAAGAGCCTCTGTTATTAACAGTAGGGTTTTTGTTATTCACTGTTCCAGCAGAACTACTGCTTTGTGGTGAAGAATTAGCAGATACATCTTGGGCACTGGTTTTCTTCTCCCCATTAGGATACAGCTGTTTCTTGATATGTTCTGCGTTGATCACGGAGAACGGTAGATTTTCTCTTGGCCAATACTGTTGATACTGACGGTCTATAGGAAGGTTTGTCGATGTTTCAGATCCAGTGCCCAATCTGTTTGGGAACTGTGGATTTGTGGAACCTGAATTGTCAGTGTCTTTGAACCTGGATGCTAGTTCTGGTACTCCGATGGGGCCTGATCCTGCGAAGAAGGGTCTTTGGGCTGAGACTGCAGCAAGAATTGTGGTGAAAAGTACGGCTAGTTTCTGTAAAAAAAATTGTAATTTTAATTTTTTTAAAGAGCGGAGTTGAACATTGAAGTTTCTTTTGTGTGTAGATACCCTAGAATGAGTTTCCCCACCTTACACATATATTCTCAACTTTCAGTTGAGTATATATGCTTCTTTGCAGAAGAAAATTGAAGAATCTCCTTCAGAACTTTTCATTCATAGCACAGCAAAATGTGGTTGTATCACAAACAGTGTAGTCAGAACTATAAAGGTGACAGGGGGTGAAAATGGAGAAAATTGGTCAGCGTTGCATACATTGCACTATTCTTTCATGCACCAGCTTACAAATCCTTCAGCAATGACCAAAATTAACGAACTGAAATGTGAGTTGGAAACTCATGCAACCTTATCACCAGTGTTTCAGCCCCCTTGGATTATCTTCAGTTTCCAAATGTGAAAAAATGACTCAGTGGTCGAAAATTTTTCAACGATGAAGAATAACGATGAGATTGGAACCTTTGGTGTGAAAGTTGAATACTCCTTGAAGCGGGTTTTAATCGCTCGTCGACTCTGGCCGATGTATTTGCTGTTGCAATCTTGACCTTTCTGTGTTTTCTAGTCTATCTAAATTTTGCGAAAACGAGCAATGGGATGATTTTCAAAGAAATATGTTCAAGATGATTGAAGGAAAATTCATTAAGAAGATGCATTTATTAAATAATAAATTGAAAAAGCTGAGTTCAAAAAAGCATAAGCGTATGGCTTTGAAAACCATCAACATTATAGAAAACCACTCTTCTCAATCTTTTGATGGAGAGGAACTAGCCTTATTGAATAAAGATTTGAAATACGGCATCAGATCTCCCCAAAAGGATTTGGAAGAAGCAGTCGTACGTATCGAAAGCTCTATTCGGCAAATACCGGAAACTTCAAAAGGATTTGTTCGCGAAGCATGTAAACAACAAATTTTCAAAAATATGAGCAAAGAGCCACACATTTCATCGAGAAAAGAGCAGAAAATCATCAAAAGATTGAAAGAAAAGGACTGTTTTTATTTAAAAGAGAGTCGACAGCTTAATTGAAAATGGTCCATATCAGAAATTACCACGAAATCCATTATCCAAGATGACCGCTAACGTAAAAGCCACATTGAAGAAATGCAAGACACTGATCACACCGATTTTAAACAGGAGGCTACAACTTTCAAATCCCACAGTACCAAAGATATATTGTTTACCAAAAATACACAAACCTGGAAAATCGATGCGACCAATAGTCTCAGCAATTAATTCGCCTTCGTATAATATCGCTAAATGGTTGACAAAAGAATTTGAAAATCTCCCGATCGGCCCAACCGATGCGAGTGTTAAAAACTCACAAGAATTCATAGAGAAAATAAAAGATATTAAATTAGGAGAAGGGCATTCATGCAAGTTCATGTGGTT